TCTGCCCGTCTGGTGAATGTAAACAACACTAGCGCCAAAAATATGCCTACGATTTTTTTCCAAACTGAATAAACGTCTGTAAATCTAACCTCACTGAAAGCAGTGCGATTTTAAAAAGCATTCATTAATTTTCGGGTGCTCTTTTCATAAAGACAGTTTCAAAATTTTCTGAAAAATCGCTCGTTTTTTCTTAAAATTTCTGGTAAGAATAAAGTACGCTTATTAAGGTGACATAGGTCCGATTTTCACTGTTAACTCCGAATTATTGAAATTTGCAGAAGTTTGAAATGTTTTCGTCGGCTTCCTACAACTACAAAATTGAAGATAGAGATTTTGCCTACAAGTAAAATTTTCTTTCCATAATTAGTTCTTTCAACAAGGTCATGTTCATGTCTTTGAAACATTTAGCAGTTTTCGCGTAATATTGCATGCAATTTGTGCAATATTAAAATATAACAAAAACTATATTTTCTCATTAACGGATCCTAATTTTTTCTTTAAACGTTTGGTAGGGATAGTACTAATGTACTATATAAGATGACATAAACGCCCGTCTTCTCTATTCTTTTGTGTTTTCAAAAATTACAAAAATGTATTTTTTGATTTGTCTCTCACGTTGTTAATATTTACATTAACAACGATTTGTTCACATTACTCTACTTATGAGTAAATGACTTCATGATGTCTTATACAGTTTTTCAAAAACTCAAATGCTTTCTATGAATATGAGCTCAATACTTCACATTTTCAGAAAAGCTCAAATGTCATTTTCTAAAAACGGCTTCAAAATTTTCTTCAAACTTATCGTAGGGAGAGCACTAATTGAACTGTTTAAGATGACACAAAAACCATTTTACTGTTCTATTGTTGTTTCCCATTGTTGTTTACCATTTTACAGTTTTTTGTTGTTTCTTTTCAAAGAATTACACAAATTTAATATACTTCGGATGACGTATACTAGCAGTACCTTAGAAAAATTGTACAGTAATCAGAATTATTAGCATAATGAGAAGTATTTAGTGACAGAGCACATGATACACAAAAACCCAAACACATGCAGCCCTAAAAGAGTGTACAAAATGCGATAGAACTTAAAAAAATATAAAATGCTTTTATTGCTTTAAAATGCATTGAGTATAATGAACATTTCTGAAAGCTTACGAATGAATTTTGTCCAAAAATTATAACTTCTTGCCATACGGTTGATAAGTAGAGTATTCGGTCGAGGTCGGTTGCCAGTTACGATCATCCAGCAGAGATGTATGAAGGAATTTTAAGCATGGATTTTATATTTATAATCTCTTTCTTTTATTAAGCTTATATTTTAGCTATCATTTTTTTCTTTTGAATAGAAATGAATTCAAAGTTTAATTTATTTTTTTTGCAAGACCCTCAAATGTCCAAGGCGACGCCAGATAAATTTAGCTAATTAGCTAATCGTGTACATAATGAGCTGCCTCACCGGAAGGAGCACTTCTGCAGGATGCAGTCGCTGGTGAGCTCGGCGAGCGTGTTCTTGGTGACGTTGGTGGCGAGCACGACGCCCCCGCAGCGCACGTCCTCCTCGACGAGCGCCGACGCGTTCACGCCCTCCGCCACCAGCAGTTCCTCGCTGAAGCTGCGCATACACTCACTCGCATCGCACCGCAACTTGTCACTCGCCCTTAATGGCTTGGGCACAGATGATCACAGGAGATCAACAAGAATCTGAAGAAAGTGGCATTTTCGTACATTGTGTTTTGTGGTACCGATCACAAAATTGGACTCACTAGAGGAACAAAAAATTATTAAAATCATTTGTAGTAAATAAAAAAAATAAGGTGGTCATCAACTGCAGGAAAGAATTACAGAGAAAAGATCGGTCGGTCAACTTGCATGCTTGAGAAAAAAAATTGTACATTATTTGGTAAATGCGATGTTATGAAAACAAGTTGGATGAGCCCTGTCCAGAAGAATATTTTAGGAGCAGATTGTGCGAATTAAAAGATGAGAGACAAAGTGTGTCATTTCAAAAGGATTTAAGAAAGAAACTTTTTGGTGTATGCGGACAGTTTTAAAGCATTTCACATAAGCTATTAACAAACGAAAGAACACTCGTCGAGTAGAGGCAATAAGAAGTAACGAACATCTTATTCGATCCCTCCACAAGAAAATCTCACTCCAGGAAGAACAGTAGTAAGAAAGGACGAAAATTAGTAAAAGTAATTCACCAAGGAGCAAACATAAATTGAAATGAAACCAAAGATGGCCAAAAAATTTAAACTCCTTAAATGTGACAGTCATTCAATTATAACTCCTCGTAGAAACAATGAATTTGAGAAATGGAAAGCAAAGGAAATCACAAAAATATTGTTCAATGAAAACAAGAAAGTAGTTGATGCTTGAAAGATAACAAGGCGTTTCATGAAGAAATGAAGTTTCCTCTGGCGTTAAGCTTTCACCTCTGTGTTAGTTGTGAATTCAAATTGTAAAGTAATAATTGTATGCATTCTCATCAAGGCTGAAAGATGATGTATGATGGTTAATATTAATAAGATGTTTGGATAGGTAGATACCTTCCAATTAATAAATAAAAGATGTTTTCTGGTATCAAAAATATATTAAGCTAAAAAACTTTTCTATCGCGTAGCGGTAACCGCAGAACCTTGTTTTCCACCCGGACGCTGCAAGCTCTGAGGATGATCGCTACGCGATCGAAAAGATCTTTAGCTTAGTATATTTTTCATACCAGAAAACATCTTTTATTTGTTTAATTTGTATATGCTGGATTGAAAAAATCTATCGTGCGTTACTAGTAGCACAAATATGTTACTAGCTGCAAGAGCATATTTTAAAAATTAAATTATAATATTCACTTTGAATGTTCGTCAAGGTTTTACACTATTCTTAATATTCGGTATTTCATAGAAATGTGACCAAACACCATTTTTTTTCTCATTTGAAAATAAGATCGTACGTTCTTAAAAAGAGATGGAAGAATTTGTCAAGTGTTATATATTTTATAATTCAAACAGCAAATTACCAAAAAATTAAACCAACAATAAAAATAGATTGCTTAGTATGAAATATTCAATTTATAATTGAAACGGCCTTAAATTAATGCCTTTTAAAAACAATTTTTCAAAGTAACTAGTTTAAATTTCTCATACCTCTGTCTAAAATCGATGGTTTCGTTGTCATCTTCCGTTTCCCATTTGATGCCTAGGTGCTCAGTCGGTTCTCTCAGCTCGTCGAACAGGACGATCTCCACGGAGATCGTCAAGGTATGCGCCTTCGGCGGTGTGACGTCCGGCTTCCTACGCACATACGCACACACAAGTAATTTGCCAGGCATCGTTTTTTCAAAATTGAAAATAGTCCTTTGTGATATTCGGGTATTTCTGCTTGGATAAACATATTTAAACTAGATGTCTAGATTTAACTAGATTTTTATATTAAATATTTAATGTATATTTATATATATAATAATTTATATATTTATAAATATATATTTAATATACATTAAATATTTAAACTAGATTATAAACATATTTATACTAGATGTCTAAATAATTTGAAGGCGTTTGACTAAAAATTTAGATTTGAATTTGTCAATGGCATGCAAATAGGTAGTCATCGATTTAATCTGTAAGAAATTCACTGACATCTTTTTTTAATCTCACGCTTTGTAAACCGTGCTTTTAATGCTCACTTTCTGCGGGTTCAGTCTCAGCTATTGGGGACGTTACAGAACTCTCATAACATTGCTGTCCTGCTTCTTGTTTCCTGTGTTTACACTCCAAAAATAACACGTAGCATAGCAGTTACAACTTTGAAATGATGTAAAGCTGTCTGTTCTGTTACAAGAAAATCTGCGTACAGGAGTGTACTCTTAAGAAACGGCAGTTGCAAATTAATAAGAAAGGTACTAAAATGCTGAGATGGTACTAAATGATTCTTAGATATTAAACTAAGTGATCCTACGATGTCAGTTTATTAGAATGTGTTTTGCCGATAATTAATTATTAGACCCTTTAATTTACGAGAGGAAGCCATGACAATTAACTAGAAGGACGAGAAACAAAACTTGACATCGACTTCATTTTCTGAATCAATGAAACTGAATGTAAAGTACACCTATTTCGCAAAATTTTGATTGTAGGATCTCTATAGGTGAATTTTTGGGACATTCTAAAAGTAGGTCGTATAAACCTTACACTTTTCTTTACTCATTAGTTCATCGTTCCGTTTCTTGGTATTTTGTAGATTCATCAACATTTCTATTTTTTTTATTCCTTCTATTTACAAGCAGTACCAAATCTTGAAATAAACTCTAACTGTAAAGTATTTGCCGCAAGAAATTGTCTGTGTTGTGTTGGCTTAGAGGCCACAAGCTGATCTTGTTTCAAAAATCCTTTTTACATGAAACGTTATCAATGTTTTAGGTTGATCTTTCAAAAATGTTATAGAGCAATAGAACGTTATTTGCCAACCCTTTCAAAGCGCGTTCACAAATGTTTTAAGGATAAATTTACCGAATTTTGATTTATAAAGTATTCGTTAGTATATTCAGTTATTGCGTTCAGTTTAATCATGACATCCTAACACACACCAGTACTTTCCAAAAAATTATTTTTTGATATACTCGTATATTATTGTATGATTAAAATAATAATTCTAGTATTTTTATCTTCAAAGTAAAGTTATCATCAGTAAAGTTATCAAAGTAAAGTATCATTAATTTAATGCTCTCATGTTTAAACATTTGTAATGGAATTATTATGAATATTTTATTTTATATTAGTTAATTTAAAAAACTGTTTTCATAAATGATCTATTCATACGCTTGATGCATTTTCTCGTTGAGTGTTTTCATTGAAATTGAGTTGCTCGTTTATGAAACGCGTTGGACAGAACTGACGTATAGCGTAATTTCCTAAAGACATAATTCATTTGCCACATGTGAACTTAAATTCTGTCGGTCACTCGGAGCCCGATTCTGCCCTACTGGGCTGCAACCCTCACTTCTTTCGGCGCCGCGCCGGGTTCTTCTTCTTGGTCTTGCCGTCCACCTCCATGATGAAGTGCAGCGGCTTCTGCGTCGAGCTGCCCTGGACCTCCGCCATGCCGTTGGCGCCCGCGCCCGCGCCGTCCGCGCGGCCCATGCCGCAGGTGCAGCCCGAGGCGGGGCTGGCGGGCGCCTGCGGGGGCGGCAGCGGGGGCGGCGGCGGCGGGGGCGTCGGGGACGGCAGCGGCGGAGGCGGCGCGGACGGCGGCGGCTTGAGGGTGCAGTGGTCGAGGCACGAACCCAGGATCATGTCCAGCTCCTCCTCCACGGGGCACTCGCGGGACGGGCACGGGCTCCACCACACCTCCACCTGCGACACGAGGGCCCTTAAGTCACGGACCCCAGCCTCGCCACGCGCCGCTCCACGCCCTTCTCGCGACCTGCTCTCCCATCGAGGTTGCGCAACCTGCCCACCGCGATAGCACACCTCGCGGAGAGTTCCTTACCATTGGTGAAGATGAACGCAATTAATTGCGTCCTGCGTACCATAATAATTAATTATTTAAATTGGTGGGGAGAGAACAAAGAATAAATGCCTCTGCAAACCTTTTTTATTTCCTTTTTTACTGATTTATGGAAGTTAACAAAATGCCCGCCGAAAACTAAACGGATCAAGTTATGTTGCAATTGACTATGATTCAATAATATTATCTGAAAATAAACTTTGAAAACTATTTAGCACGACAAGGAATTCACGCACATGATTACATAAAGCGATACCCAACTATCTTAATCCTTACCATATATTACATATATTAACGGTGATTGGCCAGAAGAGTATCCTGCAGAGGTCACTGGGTGCAGAAAAACGTGGCTGCTAATTCGTCTAGCTTGCGTCTATTTCTAAAATTCACGCAATGAGATGACAAAATCTTAAAGAATTCTGAATGTGTAACGTATGTCGTATATGGATTTGATTTAGTGTTTATTTCTTTCACAGTTTTCCACTGTTAAAAAAAAAAAACATTCTGTTACCCAAAAATTCTAATATTTTATATAATTTTAATTTTATTTTTCACCAATCCCTATCTTCATTATCCTTGTCTGTTAAATTCTTCTTTCAAATGTCCCTTAACCTTAATTTCTCTTAACCAGCTACTCGTATGTTTAGGTCTTCCTCTTATCTTCTTTCCCACAGGATAGCACCATTAAATTATTTTTGGAAATCTATTTTCTTTCATTCTTTTAACATGTCCAAATCACTATAAATGTTTATATTGGATAGTTTCTAAAATTGTTTGAACTTTATTAATATTTTCTCTTATTTAATCTAATTTTGATATCCTTAATGACCTTCTCAAAAAATCCTTTTCTGTTGCCAGTAATTTTAGTATTAAATCTGTCTTTAATTTCCAATTTTATGATCCATATAAACAGTACTTTCTACAACAGATTTAAATATCCTTAATTTAGTTTCTTTTGTTATATGCGTATCCCATAATATTTTGTTAAGCATTGGTGTTGCTGATCTTCCTTTGTTTATTCTATGCCTCATATAAATTCCTTGATTTCTATGCTTATTTATTTCTACTCCCAAATATTTAAAATCTGAACAACATTTAATTTTTCCCTTTCCATACTCTAAAATTTATTCTGTATTATTTACTCCACACCCCATATAAAATGTCTTTTCCATATTCATTTTAGTCCCCATTTCTTGTATTCTTCTAATAATTTTCTAAACATATATTCTGCATCTTCAGCATTCTGTGTTATTATTACCTCGTCTTCTGCAAATAATTAAGTGTGTATACTTTTATTTCTTATAGGAATGCCCATTCCTTCATCTTTCTTTTTCCATGTTTCATGTTAGAAAGTTTTGCAAGTATATTTTAAATAAAGTTTGAGACAAGCTGCACCCTTGTCGCACACCTTTGGTAATAAAAATTGATTTTGAGAGATTTCTACATATTTGGTCTGGAGAAATAGCACCGTCATATAATTTCTTTATTGACATCAAAATGTTTTCATTGATGTTCATTTCTCTCAATATTTCCCATAATTTTGTTAACGGAATACTATCATGTCTTTTCTAAATCTACACATATTTTTTGCTATCCCACTTCATAATTTTTTTCTATTAGCTGTTTTATTACAAAAGTATGATCAATGGTCGATCTGCCAACTCAAAAAGCTGCTTAAATGTCATCTTATCTACTTTTATAATTTTCTTCTAAATATAATTTTAGTCTTCCATAAAGACGACTAAATACATTTAACACTGCTATTCCCTTATAATTTGTACATTCATCGGAAATGATACCATTTTTCTGTTCTTGAGGGGGATTTTAATTTAGCGTTTAATTCTATTAAATGTATATTCCATAATGAGATTTGACTGAATTGAGAGACCCAGAAATTTGTGTACCTTGCTAATTGCAAATTAATTGTTCATTTTCAAAGAGCATGCCATTGCTGATTTGAAATGTAAAAAATGCATCGAAAGAGTTTTCCTTCGTTAACTACTAATTTGGTATTACGATATAACCAATTTGAAACTTCTGATATCGTACTATTTTTTTGCCGGTTAATGAATTCTAGTGACTTTTCTGTCAGTCTATGTATATTGCATCGTTACAGGATCTCCTTCTCCTAAATCCCTGTTGATGATCTTCTCATTCGTTCATGCTGTACCGCTACATGTTTCGTCACTAATTTGAGTGTGGAACTTAAGAGATTTACTTCTCTGTAATTATCGGGGTTAAGTTAGTCTTTGTTCTTGAATAACAGTATAAGGATGCTTGTCTTCCAATATTTGCGTAACTTACGATGGTGCAAGATCTTCTTCATTAGTTTAGTTATTTGTTCAGTTAATGTGTCTCCACCATACTTTAGGAGCTCATTGTATACACCAGTCTCCCCAGGTGATTTACCATTTTTCTTAATTAACACCTTCACCTATTCTGATATGATGCATTCTGTAATCACGTTTCTTGTTTCTGCAAGGCCTATTACATTTCCAATTTCGTTATGGAATAAGTTTTTAAAATACTCCATCCATATTTGGATAGGTATTGTGTTAGTTATCGTAAATTCATTAGTTCCTGTTCTCTTGTTCCTAATGAACCTCGACATTTGCTTCTGAAGTCCATAAAAGTCATGATCTAATCTTTCCGAAAAAGAAGTCCAATATCTTCTCTTTATTTCTCTAACTTTTGAATTTGTCTCGTTCCTAATGGTTTTGTATTCTTGATATGATTATGTAGGTCCATATTGCTTGTACTTGATATAGACAACTCTCTTCCGGTGTGCCGCTTTCTTTACTTCTTCAGTGAATCACTGTGTCCTTTTGTTTTGTATTCTTCCCGTCTCTTCTCTGCAGATTCTTCTGCTGCCGCCAAAACATTTAGTCTTTATCTTTTTCCAAGAGGATTCTACGTCATCAATGACCTGGATCTTATTACTAGTTATTTTCTCACATAATCTGTCCTTATGTAATTGTTTAGTAGTTTCCTCATTCAATGACTAGATGTTATTTTTTAATTTTTTAACTGAGCCCAATAGGAAAAAACAGAGATCATTTCCGAATTCAGTACCCAAGTTTTAGCTAGGAACCCCAGTCTTTGTTACAAAAATGCTGTTGACGAGTGTTATTTCTCTGTAAAAACTACGAGATTCACGATTTTGTTCATAGTAACCGTCATTGTTGTATTATTAGAACAGTTATTATTACAATAAATTAGCTACTCATAATACTGTTATCTTTAACGGGTATAAAATCCAACCCCTATGGAAATCTGAATAATCTGAATTGTTCTTTGGTCCACCGTAATTCGCCTCATCGCGCAGTAAGAAATGCGCGCGGCGATGGTGTAATGGTTAGCGTACCGGACTGTACCACTGTTGGCGGGTTCAAACCCGCTCGAAGCCGTGTGTTTTTCAAGGGCGAAAAAATCCCTCGGAGGGGAAAGGGAAGTAAAGCCGGCTGTCCCATGTTAGTAGATTTACTTGCATGTAAAAGATCCTCAAGCCTAAATGACGCCTCTGAGCTAAATTCAAATCGCCTGTTTCTCGCCTAAAAAATACCTCCTTTCTCTGCTAGTTGGTGAAAGGAGCGTAGCGAAATTTGCGTGGTCAGACGGAAGAGCAGGCCCCATGGTCTGAGTGTCGCCACGTAAAATAAGGCATTAATTCAATTCAATTTTAACAAATTGAAAACGCGCGGTTACTAACACGGGCCAGGAAGCAGTGCACGTCCTCCGCTGGAGCAGTCGTTTACAGATTCGGCGCGGTGGGCGTGGCGCCCCCTCTTGTCCGTGCCCTCTCCCGCGCGGTGAGTCACGGGGAAAGCGGATGCGCTCGCAGGAGGCGCGCGGGGGCGGGGCGGGGGCGAGGGCGAGAGACGAGGCGCAGGAGGCCGTGGAGCCAGCGAGGGGGCGGCGCGACGAGCGAGGGGAGCCATCGTCGAACGCGCCGCTCCTCGACGCGCCACTCGCGGAGGACTTCAAGGAAACCAGAGGCGCCGGGCACACTAGGTTCTATACGATCTCCAAGCAAACGATCTTATACACTTTATAAAAAAAAATAGAAGTTTTCCTGAAAAAATAAATTAGAAGATTAGAGAATTATTTCTATTAAATATTGAAAATATGAAAAGTATGAATAAAAAACGTAATAAAATAAATATCTCGATATTCGTGTACTTTTTCAAGGTTTCTGCTTGTATTGAATTTATCTAGTTTCTTTAAGAATCATTTCTTACCAGGATTCACAGTTGTCTTGATACCATCATTACATAAACTGTAAACGGTTAAATGACTTCGGTTGGAAACCGCACTCTTTTGTCGTAATCATTTAAAACTTTATCTGTCAAGGCTCACATCTAAACATGGTAAGCATTTTCACGTACCAGGTTTCACTTGTGTTTAGGAACAGCTCTTCCAAGTAGGCATTGCCTACCAAGAATTCCGTTTGGGATTTCCCTCCGCCGAAAGCAGAATCATCGAAAGGGTCGACTGATAACTGCAGTAAGTCTTCACGATGCGTCTTTTGTTCACGTTTCGATTGCTTTTAGTGTATTTGGGAGGGGTGTAGTCGTAAAGGCACCGAAACAGAACATCTCCCGTTAATTCATTGTCACATACATTCGCAGGTTACATCATATTTCATTATGTTTATTTACCGGTTTAATGTATACGATAGTAATCAATTCTTGGCGTTCCAAAAATAAATGATAATGTGTGTTGCTTTTATATTTACGTTATTGCTCAATTTCAAAAAATATTATGTTTATATTTTCTTCTTGTATCCTATCGATCGTGATGAAATAAATAATAAGAAATACTTTGAAATAAATTTAATTCCAGAAAAATATTGAGTAATAAATATCAATCAATTGGTATGTGAATTCAGTAAAAATCGTCACGGATTCTCCTGATGCACTATTGCCCATAAATCTGGTGATGAGAAGTATTAATGGTGTACTCCTAATTGTGATTGATATGGTTTACTCCTAATTGTGAGCTTATAGTAGATTATAGTTTGTCTGAGAGATACTGTATCGAAAACCATATCTCCCAAAATTTTTTTCTCCAGTGCATATCAGAAGGCAGAATTGTACGTGTACATCAAGCAGTACCTTTCCCGTACTACTGCCATATTAGCCTGAAGGAGATCATGGAGATAAAGTCCGAAGAAAAATCTTCGAGGAGGCATCCATCACTCGTATGCCGAGATGACTGTCATAATTTCTTTATTTGTTACTGGTACGTTGTTGCTTGTAATTACCTTCGTTACAGATCTCGGTATGCAGTGCACAACTTACCTGGACCGAGGGGATTGTGGTTACGAGGGGAACAATTGAACGAGGATACCTTTCTCTTACAGAGAAAATTATGAAAGGGAAATATGAAAAGACAAACCGAGTTATCTTATGGTCTAGGTAATTAGTAAATGTGCATAAATATTATTAAATAAAAAATGAAATCATGTATGTACCACAAGAGTTAACTGGTTTTAATGATATCGGGCGACCATTAGAACCCTTATAACGGTCTCAAATACTATTCGGCTCCTGTGCTCGCATGAGGCCGATCCACCCACCTTGTGCGTGTGCGGGTGGCGCATGACGTACGCGGCAGGCATGTCGCCCGGCATCTCCATCTGCGGGATGAGCATGAGCGAGTGGTGGCACAGCGCGTTCAGCAGCAGCGTGAACACCACCACCGGCTTGTAGCGGCCGAACTTATCGATGAGGTAGCCTGGAACAGCGGTTCCCACTCGTCCTCCGCCACGCCGCGGCCAGCGCACGTCAAGAGGCGCACACTGCCTGCCTCGCATTGATCGAAATTTTGGGAAAATAAAATAAAATCGCTGTTTGTTTTTCAGTGACGAACGGTAGAAGTAATTGTGATACTTAAATTTCTAGTAATTTACTATGTAATAATTAAGAGACCATGTGGAAATAAAATTTCTTCTCAAAAACCCACCAACAATCTTACACTCGTATTCATGCGCATTCGATCCATCATTGATCAATCCATCATTGTATGAAAAAAGTTACCAATGACCTCTTCCCCTCGCACAGTCTAGGTTAGCTGAGAAAAATTCCGAAAGCTATGACCTCCTCGCTGGGGTAGCCTAAGGGAGGAATCTCATTTACTTGGCTGTCCGGGTGTCGCCGCGTCCATGGCGAAGGTGCCGACGTTTCGGTGGCCTTTCTGCGACCTTCCTCAGGGCGTAATGCCCTGCCAGCCACGTAAATAAGGAGAATCCTCCCTAAGCTACCCCACGTCGAGCGAGTAGGCCATAGCTTTTGGAATTATTCTCAGCTAACCTAGACTGTGCGAGCCGTGGGACTACGTATGGGCTGCAGACGCCTGGCAGTCTGCTAGCAAGCTGCTGGCTAGTGGCCTGGCCTGATGGACTTAGACGTAAGCGTTACAGAAACGTGCGACGAGTGTACTCAATTACAAGCTGTTCAGGATGATTTACTGTGAGGACTGCCATGCAGAAGTTAATTTTCATTGCTATCAGTATAGCAACCACACAAGTATGCCAGGAATTCTTCCTGCATACAAGCTGATTTGCAGTTTTGAAAGATGCTTTCTGACATGTCCGAGATACTTTTAGATCTAGATAATTGAGTAAATGATCGAGAGGAATAATGTTTGAAGTATAAAATTTGGTTTGAAAATACATTATGAACCACTGCGTATCACAATATCAGACTAGTGATGAAACATCGATAATAAAACATCCATGTTACAAAAAATCGATGTTCAAATTTAAAGCATCGACGATGTAATGCATCAGCCATTAACATTAACCTCTAACCTTACATTCGTGCACAACACAACTTTATTTAACAGTGGCCTTATTTATTAGTTTATAATGAAGATGTAACTAAAAACAAAGTTAAAAATAATAACAATGGACAGAACTGAACTTGAGATACTTAATTACCAGAGTTATCTCAAAGGATGGATCTACAGTATGGATGGAATAGCACTACAATATGGAAGATGAATATTTTTCCTCAATGAAATCTATCAAACAAAGATTTTGAAATAGGATCATGTACAATTTTTCAAAAATATTAGTAGTTTTCATGTAATTTTGCGAGAAATATGGGCAACTTTTAACCATTTTTTTAAACATCCCCTAATTTTTACTTTCTCGCGTACTACGTAGTATAGAGAAAGTATTGTAATGTGGCAATGAACGGCAATTTTTCGTCTGAAATATGTATTGTGATAGTCTGACACCGAACAAGTGGATAAATATTGTTCCAAAACGGAGCACAATACATACGTTGTACGGGAAGAATCCATCTTTGTGAGTCCTTGGGAGAGAAAAATTGGTTTAGGACAAAACTTCTGACCGTCCATTCGTTTGTCGGCCCGACATGATTTTTAGGGTAATTTACATTGTATGATTCAACAGATTTTCATACTTTTCTCAAAAATTGTTCAAACTTTAGTTGTAGTTTTTCTTTTAGGACAAACAACGCGTTAAAAATTGTAGATATCCCATCAACTTCCGTTAACATCAAAAGTTCATAATTCTTTTGTTGTCTTGCTACAACTACAATATTTAAGATAGACATTTTTTTCATCAAATGAAATTTGTTCTTCATAATTAGCTCTTTAATGTCACAAACTCTTTTTGGAAATATTATAAATTCTGAAATGAAATTTTTTCTTCATAATTAGCTCTTTAATGTCACAAACTCTTTTTGGAAATATTATAAATTCTATATTCGATATATTGAGAGAAATAAGGCCTCTATTAAAAACAAGTATATCTCAAAAAACGAAAGTCTGTGCCATTCGGTAGTATCTTTAATGTTCACCTCGGTTATAGAAAAGAACGATAAAAAATGCCCAAGTTCCGTTTTCGGCGAACTCTGTGATTTTGAAAATTGCAAAAAATTAACTTTGCAAAAGTAGATTATTGATGATAGTGTTTTTCTTTTCCTTAATGGATTCTGTTCTTTACAAGTAGATCGTGAAATAATGTTAATGAAAATCTCTGAATATATTGGAAAATTGCAAATGCAGATGTTTGACTTTTTTACTTTCTCGCCTTACGAATTCTAAGAGTGACTTTTGTAATCGTGCGCCAGAAAACGCCGAAATTTCGCCAGAAAAACTTTATTGACGGGCTCTATTATTTACATTTGCGGCGATTTGTTCCCATTATATTTATATTCATATAAGAATACGAATGATTCCCATTCAACACAGCTGAGCACTGAAGTGCTTTGTGTTATGGATTCACATCAGGCCCTCACACTCGGAAAAGATCTTGTTTGGGAATATCTTGGATACAAGTCATTATTTTGTTATTAGTATACAGTACATAAACAATGTTGCTCAAAACTATACTATATAAACAGCGAAATAGTACTGTTGATAGCAGTCTTCAAAGCGTTAGGTAAATAAACATAACATAGACAAGAATGAGAATAGTTTACCTGTGACGGGGGGGCTGAGGAACGTGGTGAACGGGAGCGCGAGGTAGATGACGGAGATCTCGTCCACCGTCAGCCCGATGCTTTGCATGTGAATCGTTAAGTAGGGCAGCAGCGAGGCCGTGGCTGCAACAGAACACCCATTCGCACCAATGATCGCGATGGCCTACCGCCTTGCTAGCGACTACGCCACAACTTGTATTCACTAAAAGCTCCCCGAAAGACATCTAAACAAATACCTAGGAAGCAATACTGTTGCACGAGCGACATTTTGGTAAAAGAGAACACCCTTCCCCTAGATTCTTCAATCATAGTTTTCGTTACAATAATATATGAAATAAATATAAGTTCATTTTAGAAGGTAGTGTATTAAAAACAATAAATGTAAAAGTAAAATAACACCATGTTGTCATGTATGCCATATCATGTTCTTCTATCACCTTTTTCATCATGTTGACATTATACTGATTCATGTTGTACGTATGTAATAATGCTGATGGTATTTTTATCACGACGAAATGAAAAAATTCGTACACGTTCTACTAGTTTGATAGATTTCAGAAGTAATATTCGAAGTGGAGCAAAATGTCTAGTTTTTCAAATGTAACAAACCTCGCGTTTCATTTATTTATTTATTTATTTATTTTATTTATTTATTTATTTATTTATTTATTTATTTATTTATTTATTTATTTATTTATTTATTTAACTTTTATTCATCTTTCAACTATGTTGGTAAGAGATTCTGGAGCTCGAGAAAACGTGCGCAGATGGTACTTCTCCTTCATACGTCACATTACGCCGTGGTCACATTCAGTTTTTACTGTTCTTTGACGATCAAGTAAATCTGATGGATTACGAAATTCAATACGATTATACATTTTCCGTGGCTTTTTTTACGGTTTAATAACTCTAATTGCATTTCACGTCCAGAAACTTTCTAAACAAAAATGTATAAAAGTTTTCTGTACATAAACAAATAATGGCAATATTACTTATACATCTGTCGCACATTGTTGTTTGAACGCTCTTCGTATACACGTACGCGCGCACACACACATATTGTAACATTAAACAAGTGACATTCACAATTAGCTTTGATTGTGGAGCTGTATGAAGTTTTCAAAGATCTCCAGTCACAAGAATGTATGAAAGGAGAAAATGCCGTTGTAACATTATATTTTAAATTTGTGTCTTTCCGAGTGGACAAATGTTTAGAGAAAATTTTACAACTTTCTATTGAGTATTAAGGGAGTGTTTCGAATTCTGTATACCACGCCTAGGGTTTTTACATTTGGGGATTTTTGTATGTGGCTTTTCTACCTGTCTGCAGTGCTCGACATAAGGTGATCCATAATTTTCATGTTATTTCTAGAATATCTTCCCTCAAATTTAAGTTAAAATGGAAATTTACAAAATTCTTTACATTTGCTTAGGAAGTGGGTATCGCCCACGCAATCAATTCTGCATCTGCAATATCTTCCTCAGCAAATAGCAACGTAAGTAAAAACCTCGTTTGTGTTTTGTAGCAAAATTGCTGGAGATTAAACCATTATTTAAAGTTTTGGTGTATTGGTTGTCGAGGGGAATGCGTTATTTGAAGCTACAAAATAGTATCTCAAATTTGTTAGGTTAAAAGTTTAAATTATACCATTGTAAAACAAAATTATCCCTTGCATTTTTTAAAAATTATTATCGGTTTACATTTAATGTCTTTAAAACCAGTACTCAGAAAATAATCTTACAAATCTTGAGACTTAAGCAGTCTTGGAGAAAAATAAATAATTAAAAAAATATATTTTCCTAAAATATTGACCTTGTTTAAATCTTTGGTTTTATTTATTGAAACACCTGAAACCGAACTTGTTACTATTGGACTAGACATAAAGATTGAATTTAGGAATTCAGTAATTAATTCGCAAACCATGTCCTAAGTAGTTTCATTTGGATATTCATCTCTTGAATGTTCGAGTTACGACTTCATTTCTTTCCAAAAATGTAATAATCGATATGATTGCATTCGATTTCAAGGATTGTAACGTCAAATGTTGTAGAAAAGAAATGTTCAATACCTATTGATAAACAAAACAACTTTTTAAAAATCGATAAATCATTGAGAAATTTTATACATTTTAAATGTTTTAGAACATCGATTGTCAGCGGCAGCAGTACAATTCATCGAGGGAATTCACATTTACAATGTTTGAAAAACAACCCGAAATACAATTTTACATAATATGAGAATCACCATTTTCAAGATAATTGCATTATCAAATCATCACATCCACCGAAACAGGTAACACACCGTGACTTTATTGTGTCATCCAAACCACTGATTCCCTCATGTGTAAGACACTTAAAATTTCGAGCTATGGGGACATCATGATCATAACTCCGAACTAATGTAAGAACATTTATAGATTATTAGAAGTTGTTGATAAATTTAAGAAGCTATTTCTCATTCAATCTAACAGAGCACCAGGGCCGGCGGAAGGCATGTGGAAAATACAAATCTGCCTAACTAATTTTTTTGAATATAGAGTATTCCATCCCTGAGAATTTCCTGTTGTATATCAATTAAATATTTATTTGTCTATAAAATACCTTATAATTGTTTGTTATTTATTCAAACTCCCAACATTAGAAATATTTTAAAAGTTTTTAAATTGCTTTCGCTTTAGATGTGTTACACCTTACCCCTAAAATAAATGTTTGACGCTATTCGATTTGTGTTTGTTTCTGAACAACGTTCTGCCTGAGGTAACACATAGCTGTGAAATGTAGAGTTACTTTAATTTAACGGAAGGAATAATAGTGAGTGAATTTGCAAGTGTATTTTGCATTTCTGTAAATATTAATGCTGTCCACATCTCACATTTTGTTATCCATTATGTTTTGGTCGCCATGGTTCGCCGGCCCTGCAAAGCACATCTTTGCCTCTTGTGTAACTTGAGTTATTAAACGTTTATTCACTGTTTACTCAGATTTTATTGAATAATGTGTATTTAGCAATTGCTCTAAAATTGATAGCTGCAGATTCAAGTGCAACATGAGGAATATAAATAGGCCATAATAAATTCATCATCATTTATAAGATGCATCTCATCATCATTAAATTCAACTAAGAATAAAAAGCATATATTAGTTTGTTAACGTAGTGGTTCCAGATAATAACCTAATTTACTATGTGAGAGAAATAAAACAACTTGTTTTGTTTGTAGAGGTAACATAAATCTCAAAGTAGTGCTAGTTGGAAAAAATATTCTTCAAATAAGTGGTGTAGTATTTTTTTTTTAATAACAAGTAAAAACCGTGATGTACTGGAAAGAGGGAAGACTGCTTTCATTTACTGCTTTTATTCTTACGTATGTAGCTTTTTAGTTGCGATCATACAATAATAATAAATATCATATTTTTCAAAACTGGCAATTTAGACAGAAGGGACATTATGGCAGAGAAGAAGAGAAGGAAGCGCCACAAATGATCATTTCCCTAAAGGCAAGAAAGACGAGCTCTCGCAGGAAACGTGTCCAAAAGGGAATGGCTGTTCCTCCGACGCACGCCTACTCACCGCCGTACAGGACGAAGAGCGTGACCTTGAGCGTGAGGAGATGAGGGTTGACGTTCCATCGCTCCAGCCAGGCGGTGAGGCGGGCGGCCGGCGGGAGCCGCTTGGAGTCGCGATCAGCGCCCGCGCCCTCCATCTCGCTCCTGTCTGCGCCCCTGCGCGCGCCGCGACGCCGCCTGCGCCACGGCCGAGCACGCGCGTGTCCTGTTAGCAAGCGAGCGCGTACCCGGGGCGGCCGAGAGGGATTTACGGCTGTTTACTTATTTGCCTCCACGAGGCTGCAACGACGCTCGGTGGGCCGGATGTTGTCGTCTGAGATGAAACTCGGGCTGTGTAGTTCGCATTTGAAACTACAAGTTACATGAAATCGAAACGAAATCGAAGAGAAAGCAGATACATTGGCGACTTTTCTCGGACTTGAACCCATCTATACGATCCAGCTGGCTCACGTATTGCTTGTAATATATAATCATGAGAATTAATTTTCTGAATCGGAATGGTCGCTGGTGGCAACGTAAGCATTCGCCGCGAAAGAATGTACCTATTTCGCATCTCTTCTACCTCCCATGATCGTCCATTGTCTCACGTAATGTGCCACCTGCTGAGATGGCTCATGGCAACATTTTTGCCATTGCAGCGTCTCTGACCAGAAGGCCCTAGGGTTCGAGTCTCGACGGAGGATTTCCGAAACTAGGTACGTAGCTAGGTCGAATTGCGGCCGCTGTTTATGGACGAATTCTTGCGACCGGGTGCTTTAATCAGTAGTTTTATGTGATTTCACAAATCAATACAAGGCAACTGTCGAAAAAGAATTTCAACAAACGAGCCACGGACAGCGCGCTATCTTTCCTTCCTCAGCTTTATTCCATTCTTTTCCCCTACTCGCATATTCATACAATTCCAAGCACTTTTTCTTCCACACGTATCCAGAGACCATGCTTGTCCTGGCTGGGATGGTGTCGGCCTGTACGTCAACATAAGCTGACATGTACGTCAACTCCGATCTAAAAGAAAATACCACCACCTAACGGGATATAACTTGCACAACTCTAACGGGTCTAACAACATTGGTATTTAACGCGCCCGGCAACAAAATAATGAAAGAATCGTAATCTACTTAACAGTTTAGCTTAATTTTTAGAAAAAATGGTGTTACGACGAAATTGCCTTTTCGAAACACCAACAATAGAATAATCGGTAAAAAATGTTATGAAAATAATTGTATTGTATAATTCTTCTTAATTAACCGTGCAATAGAAAGCTATCATTTGCTCGTTTCCTAATACTTGGGAATAGGAAAGAAATTTAAGAAAAAAGTACATACATAATTCAATAAAGAACATTCTATATTAAGGAAAAAATTTGTTAAAATATATGAGAATATACTTTTCTTAATTTGTTTCTGAAAAACTGAACACCCCACTCCACCCAACCCCCCCGTCCCGTTGTGCCCC